TATTATTTACTCTCATGTCGTTCCAGACCCGTAAGACCTTCGTTCATCTTCAGACACAAATTAAGATATTTATGATGAATTCTGAGAGCTCTTGGAGGGTGGAGTAACCCTTTAAGGCACCAATCTATTCTCTTAATTTAACACTGTGTTCATGTAACAGAAAATATGTTTGCAGATCCTTCCATTTTACTATGCTGTCCTAAAGATATGATAACACCAACATTTATCTCCTTACACGCTGCTATTTCAAAAGACTACAAATTATGTGCACTTTCTGTTATTAAGTAAATCAAATGACTTGGAAATAGGTCTGATGGCACTTCAGCGGTGTGTAGAGGATCAGGATGATCCTAATGTGTAGAATTACCTGGTGATATTCTCATAGTGCGCTGTGACCGATAGCTGTAATGCCTGAGGCTCTCCTAAAAGCTCTTAGCTCAGCTAATACAGTGTGTAATTTCAGGTTTTATGCGCAGTAATGTAGTGCTATATCTATCAGAGGGCTTTGCTGTTCATCACTTCCCACTGAGTGGAACCATTAAGACGGTGGATTTTCTCTGCAGACGTGCGGCTGTGAAAGCATTGTGCTGGAGTGGAGCTTTGGAGCTTTTATTGGACGAGGTGTTTCACCTGTGATGGAGAGGAAGGCTCTGGCCTCCGCCGGCTTCACGCAAAAGTGTGGAAGTGTGGCTTCGCACACGTACATGCCCACATCGGCACTCGTTGGGTTGATGATGGTCAAGCGCCGGCTGAAGGATCCCACGCCGCTGGACACTTCCACGGTGTTTCTCCGCCACACCAAACTGAGCTTCTCAACCGGACTGTGGAAAACAACAGTGCAGAAATACGGTGTGATTTGAACTTTGTTGCTGCTAATTCTTCTGATTTAAAAATCCCATCAAGGTGATGTTAACTAGTTAGGGTTAGGTAACATACTGTATGTAAGTTTTTGTCAAAATTGACCCTTTGCAAAGACCCATGCCCCTTAGTTACTTTTGCTATGTCCGACAAGCCATGCCACTCTCACACTACACACCATGTTGTCACGTAGTGAAAAATACATCGCGGAGCAAAGAGGAATCTGAAAACACGCTGACATTCAAGACAGAGCAGGTTACTTCTGGTACGACCCTGTTTTAAAAAAAAAACAGCATATGCTGTTTAGGTATGTTTTGAAGCATGGAAGCTGGTTTGGAGCTAGTTGCTTAGGACCAGCACATGACCAGTTTAAACTGGCTCATGACCAGTTTATAACCAGCTCAGGACCAGCTTAAACCAGCTCAAACCAGCTTCCATGCTTCAAAACATACCTAAACAGCATACGCTGGATATTTTCAACAGGGGAAACAAAGTCTCAGCTTTCAAATTTGGTCTTTTTTAAACAAATTCAAACAATAAATACTGTTTTGTGGCTCTTTAATGTGTCATGACAGATCGTTGTATTGCCTCAGTTCACGAAAAGCTCAAAATAAACATGAATGAACATCAGAAGGTATCTTGTTTCAACCGCGGAGAGACGTCAATACACACAATCTTTCAAGTTCAAATCTCCTGTCTGATTTGTTTGTCGGACAAAATGGCGGATTCAGCGTTATGATTGGTCAAATCGCCTGTCAATCAAACTCCCAGCGAAGGGTCAATTGTGACAATCATTTAGAAGCGGTTGTAGAAGAATTCTCTCTGGCATACACTACTGTTCAAAGTCAGTAAGATTTTTAAAAAGAAATTCATCCTTTTATTCAGCAAAGACATTTATTATATTACAAAAGATTTCCATTTCAAATAAATGGTGTTCTTTTTGAGCTGCTGAAAGAAAAGAATAGAGTTCCACCGAAATATTAAGCAGCACAACACTGTTTTCAAGTTTTCAAAATTGATAATAATAACTGAGCAGCAAATCAGCATATTAGACTGATTTTAAAAATATATTAAAATAGAAAACTGATATTTTAAATGGTAATAATATTTCACAATATTAGTTTTTACTGTATTTTTGATAAATGCAGCCTTGGTGATCATAAGAGACTTCTTTTAAAAACAACATAAAAAAATATTGCAAACTTCAAATTCTTTAAATATCCTGTTTTTATCCATTTTTTTTCTAGGAAAACATATGGTCAATGCACTGTAAGTGTTACTTTAGCAACTATTATAACAATGGCTTTGAAATGAAGGTTAAATGGAGTAAAACAGAGTGAATATTGATGGCTGTGAACCTGTCAGAGTAAATGAATATCAAATGAACTGTACTCCTGCTGGGAACAGTATATCCATACTCACCGCGCATTAGCAACACACTCCAGTGTGGCCTCACTGACCCCGGCCACTACTGTAGTGTTTCGGGGTGGGATTACAATCACTGGAGCCACGGGGTCCATGGGGCCCTCTGAATCTGAACAGGAGAAAAGGTGATGGGAGAGGGAGAAAAGAGACCTTTAGATCTACAGTACATCTGACTCCAAAATGCTGGTCTTTTAGCCTGGTCAAGTCCATTAAACTGGTTTTGGTGGTCCCAAAAGTATCCCCACAGACCTATCAAAACAAACCAGCCTAACAGTTTCACCAGGCTAGGCAGCTTTAAACAGCTTTCACATAGGAAACATTAAGAGGGATCTGCACTAAATCAGCCAACACGTGTTATGGTAATACAACTCTGAAAAAGACAAAAGCCAGAGAGTTGGGCTCTTTATGTTCTATGCTTGCCTGACACAGAATGTTTTGAATAATGAATCTTTTGGCAGTGGTCCTGTAACATGCTCCAAACGGTGGAATTCCTCCCCACCCCCTCGTGCGGCTGTTATGCGAAATCATTCTTGCATGAAAATATGCTTTTTACATTTTTAAAAATGACCCAAGTACATCTCTCGTCTAGAAGTGAAAAATTAAATACTGCCTATTAAATCAGCTTCATTTTTTCAAGAGGAAGAATATCTAAAATATTGAAATGTTATGATAATGAGGATTTAAATAACTAAGTCGAATGCTAGAATCACGCCTTTGATGTCGAATTTGACGAAATGCATGAAGGAGCTGCTGAACTCTGTCAAAAATGGGAACTTCATGCGCTACTATAGGTGTCCTAAAAGGGACGGGCTGCTCCAATTACAGATAGCATCTGATGTGACTTATTAAATATGTCAAGGACCGTACAGTGGCCATAACCACATATTCAAAACCAAATGTAATAGTTTAATTGAAAAATTGGCCGAGCTTTAATCTGAATATTGTCAGTGACCTTTAATATTCACAAAAAGAATATTAAAAGTCACTGCTAAAGATTGCATTTCGCTTTATGATTTATGTTTGTACTTTGGGCTACAATTCCAGCAAATATTACAATATTGCAGGCTTGAAATATTTTTTTTGACAGAGAAGACAAACTTCTCCATGCCATATAAACAACATGTGGACGGATCCAAAAGTTTTAGTGAAACAAAACACTGAAAACATCAATAAATGCTCGAATTCTCACAAATGTGATGCTAATTTAAGCCAAATCTTGAATCCGGTGTAAATAGGAACGTGTTTCTTATAACTAAATCTCCTGCGGTCTTTTGTGTCGGTAACAGCCGAGACCGAAACAGATTTCGTGGGGCGCATGGGCCTCCCTCCCTCCCTCTGTATTTGCAGATGGGGCAACCCTTTGCAATACATTAAGATATTATTGGAAGCAGCGAGAGTGAAAATCCTGTGGTGTGATCATATGTGAGGCACGAAGCGTGTTTCAGGGGATCCTCCGGTTGCTTACTTCTGCTTCAGTGGATAAGTTGCCTCACCTGTGGCCATGGGAGGCAATAATCTGACTAAATTCATCAGGGATGCGGTAAACAGCACAATTCCCTCTTTTTACCTCATGATCTCCATTTGACAAGCAAGCCAGACATCAGTTTCCTCAACAGTTCCTCAACTTCGTCCTTTATCTATGTAAATTATATTAGTTTATGAATATTAGGTTACATTATCTCCTTTTCTGTGGGTGCTTGTTATCTCGGCTGAGGCTCAAACTCAAATAATTGTATTAGGTCTGTTCCTGGGCTTCTGAATATGTTCTTTGAATAGCTAGCTAAGGGTTTGAGTCAAAGTAATTCTCTGCATTACTACAATAGCAATTATTTTGTCTAACCAAGTCCACAAAGGCACACTAAAGGGATAGATCACCCAAAAATGAAAATTCTGTCATCATTTAAATGATAAATGATGATATAATTTTCATTTTTGAGCGAAATTTCCCTTTAAGGGGTGTTGAATATGAAATGTGTATAGTATGAAAATCTACCACGATCTGTCTCTGCCTCAAGTCTCAACATTCATTATGAATTCATTAAACTGCTTGCAAATCAATTATTTCCTATGAACGGCAAAAGTCTGATGGTGTCCACAGAGCAGAAATGCCATTTAATTGAATTCTAGCTGTAAACTCCAAAACACTTCATACAGGAATACAGAGAACCATGGGTTAAGGACTAAATAAATGAAAGATTTGAGTATGTTTTACAAAAAAAACAATGCAATCTCCTTCAAAATTCCATGCTTCGTTTGTTGTGAAATTTACTAGCAATTTCTGAGTGTGAATTATTTCTATACCAATTTGTTTTAATGTACTTTAATTTGAGTTAATGTATGCAAAGAAAACAAAATAAAAAAAAATTCTCTCCACTTATGTGGGGTTTGCAACTTTCTAAGATATCTTACCAGGTGATCCACGGTACTTCTTGTTCACTGTCCGGCAGCAAAGGCAAAAAGAGAGGACAAATACCAGCCAAAACAGTGAGTTTACAGTATGCATGTGTCTCACTTTCAACATTTGATATGTTATCTATATTCCATTGTGAATAAAATATAAGTTTATGAGATTTGTAAATTATTCCATTCCTTTTTTACTCACAATTTGTACAGTGTCCCAACTTTTTTGAAATTGGGTTTGTACTGTATATGCAAAGTGTGATTTACACAAGTAGGGCGTGTTATGGCTTCAAGCTTTAAACCTAACTTTAAAATGTAAGATCCATGATTGGTCAACAGCAATGTTGTTCCAGGACCAGTAAAAGATATAGGAACATTTCCCACTTGTGTAAATCATATTAAGGGGTGTTTTTTCAACTATGGGCCATTTTGTCCCTATGGCACACTCTCTTTAGCTTATTCAATTTGTCTTCATACATACACTTTTTTTTCCATAAAATTTCCCACCACATGGCCATTTCCACCATTTCTATGATGGAAATGATGGTGGAAGAAGTGAATTTTTGTAAAACTTTTTTGAATAAAATTCTCAACTCTTAATTTCATGGCTAGCATTTCATGTATCCTGATGACATACAATTAATATCATTTATATTTATATCATTTTTACACAATTTACCAAAAATACAGCTTGACTGGAAATGTTGCAAAAAAAAAAAAAAAAAAGGATATTTAAATAGATTTTTCTTTGAATAATAAATAAATAAAATAACTGCAAAAACAATTCAAGTAAGTTTTAATGTGATCTTAACAAAAAGAAAAGGTAATATCTGTCAGTCTTAATTAAATACACCTGGAACATGAATAAGTGCTCAAAGTTGAAAAAAAACCCCACCCATAGACAGCATGGACAAACTATATAATTACTGAAATGTGAAAATGAGATCATAATATATTCAAAACGAAAGATTTAAAAAGGTTCACAGTGCACAATGACAATCTATACGCGCTTCTATATTTGGGCCAGTTTTTACAGCAACACATCAACCCTGAGACTCAAATAGAGATAATGTACAAGTACATGACCTACAGTTAATTGCAGTTGAGATGTGGAGGAACATGCCAGAACAGCCTTTTCAAGGCTGGAGAGAATTGGGTTGAGACGATAAATAGCAGCAGAAGGGTGAAGACGTCCTTGTTTTCCTCCCCTAAATCTGTCGTCGCCTTAATTTACACAACGCCTAATGAATTCCTATGAAGCATGAAAAGGTGATCTGATACCACACTACGCACAGACAGAAAAAAAATTTGAAAGAAGGGAGAACAGCTGGCAGATTGACAGTCAAAAAAGACATTAAAGCTATAAAATATTCAGTGATTCAGGGACTGGGGAAACTTCAAGGCACATGTAGGAGTTTCTTCAGAAGGTATTGTCACACAAACAGGGCCAGATGAGGGAGCCGGGCGTCTGCAGAACACAGCTGAGAAAATATGAGGAAATATGTGCATTTGTAGATAATGCCAGGGAGACAAATATTTGCTTTGTTGTTGCCCGGAAGGTTTAGTATGGATGGCGGACGTTGTGTGTCGCTGTTAACTGAGAGGCGGTCGACTCGCACGCTTAGGACAGACATGTGATTTCTAGTAGCACTCGGGCCTGTGAACGACTGACACCTGAGAAGGAGGTTGGATTGACTTAAGGAACCCGAGGGTCTATTAAATGAACCAGCTCTGCATCAAATGGAAGCTTATTCGCATACTTGTTCCATAATTTATGGTCTACAGGGGTATTTTTTGGTATAAATATTACAAATAACAAAGACAACATTTAGAATTCGGTTGTGCCGTGTGACAGATGCAGCCCCCAAAAAGCAACATTCCCAAACAAGTGAATAGCAATTGAGTCTGATTCCGTCGCTCTGACCTCATCCACACCTCGTGTGTGACTTCTGATTTTAAGTGCTGTTTCCAGGCTGCTAGTTCTGTGTTAAGGTGAAGCGCTGGCAGGTGTTATTCGGTGAATAAAGACAGTGCTTGTCAATGGCGCATGAGGGGTTCGGTTCCTCGCGGGCTTGTTCTGCTTGTGTTCTGTCACTTGTTTTGCCAGGTAAGGAGGGGGTGATGGGGTCCGGGTTGCCCCTGAGGCCCTGCAGGCAGAAGCTGGCTCTCAGGTCCTATTTAGACAGACTCCACATAAATGGATTTGAACAGGATCGGTGTCCCAGACTGCTTTGCGTGTGTGAGGGCTTGATCCATATTCATTGTTAGTTTGTTTGGCATCTCTGCACGGGCAGACCCTGCTGTGGCCTTCCCTTTTTCTTTCGCACATCTAAGCCGCGGGCAACGTGTTAACTCATTCAATGTGGCATGTCAAAATGGGACGAGCTCCTGAGGGGTGGGACAATTCAGCAAAAAATGAAAAAAGTCATAAACACTTTTTTTTCTATACAAAGACAGTTGACCTCCTCTCTCAAGCTCCAGAAAACTTCACAAAAATGATTCATATGGCTTGTGTGCTATTTTCTAAGAATAAAAATAAAGTCGTTACAATCGTTAACAAAAACTAAAATGAAAACTAAACTAAAACATTTTCGTTACCTGAAAGAAAAAGTCTAGAATAACTGAGAAAAACTCAAATTAATTGCCATGACTCCAAAACTAAACTAACTAAAAATGTAAATGGCCACAAATTAATTTCATTGAAACTTT